GCACACAGATCAGAGTGAGGCATCTTCTGTGTTCCTCCTGGTCAGGACAAAACTGTACAGCCACTATTTTGACTGGTTCGGGTTAATAAAACCATAGTGAGCATGTTGGAGTAGGCCTTTAATTCTGGCACTTTGGGAGGTAGGGGTAGTTGGTCAGATTTCTGTGAGTTTGAGGCCAGCATATTCTACATAGTGAGTTCCAGGTCAGCCAAGACTACATAGAGAGACCTAGAAAGACCCTGTTTCAAAACAAAAGAATGTGACCATAGAGTACATACTGTCTTTGAATTCTTCTACCCAGGCTTATGCTGTGACTAAAACACCTCTTGGAGTAAAGAACGCCATTGTGTAAGTTATGTATTCATTCATTTGTGGTTATATGGGTGAATTTTTCCTTGGGATTATTAAAAATAGTGTATCATAAATATTTCTATGTCTTTTAGTAGAACTTGCCATTCATCTCTTTTGGATTTTCAGTATATCCAAGAGTGGGATGGCTTCTTAGGTAGTACATATGGTTTTTTTATGCTGACAGTTTTTCCTAAATTGATATACCAGTAAACACCCCTAATATCCCGTGTTGTCAGAGTACAATTTTCTTTAGATTAGTGATGCCAGTTAATGTGGGATGTTGAGATATTTGCTACCCATCTCAGATAATGCTCATAAACATATAAGTGTTTACATTTCCCACTTATTTGGTATAGATTGAGAGGTAGAAATTTGCCTTGCCAGTGAAAAATGCCACAGAAATGAAAAATAAAGTCCATTAATTTTCAAAAATCTGAGAGTAAACAGAATAAAGTTTACTAGAGATGTCTAGTTTTATGGTGTAGAAGTGAGCATTTCAACTGCACACACATATTTAATTCATAGAGTGAAACCAGAAGGGCTATTTGACTTGGGCTTGGTCCTTCAGATCCTGCCTCTCACACAATTCATTTGCAACAGTTTGAATTGTATTTTATGACTTCGATTTTTCTCTAATTTGTTCTTGATTGCTTTGAGAGGAAGCAGTAACTCAATATATTAAACTCTGCTTAGAATCTTCAGCACTGAGCATTTTAATTCTGTCAAGCATATGTCATCGAAGGCTGAAAAGAGATGGAACCACAGGGCCCTGGTTTACTAGGTTACATAATGGTTCACTCAAGTAACTTACCTGTGTGGGCTGGAGGGTGATATAACTAGAATAATATTCCTGGTATTAGGAAACGAACTCTCAAAGTAAGAGGTGCCCAGGATCAATCTAGAAAAGCCTGTTAGGCTAGATTTCCAAATAAGTTTTCACTTCCCTTTTGGACAAACTTTATTTCATTCATTCATTCCTTATCATTCATTCACACAAGAAACACTGAATAGGGTATGGCAGGCTATCCTCTTGATACTGAGCATACAGCCCAGAACAAGTCTGGTTTTGTTCATAAGGAACTTACATTTTTAGATGGGGAAGAGGCAAGAATATATAGACATAGAGATTAGAGTGAGATAGAAGTAGGGATAGCAAGATCATGTGATACTCCCAGAGGAAATATTAAAAAACAGGGTAAGCGGCCTGGAAAGGCAGGCAGAATACAGGAAAGTGCTTTTTGTGGGGGTGGGGACTTCAGAGAGCACAGCCAGGGGCACGTATGTAATGGTGGGAAGGAACTGAGCAGTGTGGATGTCCACTAGAGGAAGTTATTTAAGAAGGTTCGGACAGTATCTAGATGGCCTGCAGGGCAAAGAGGCCTCTGGGGTTGGAAGTTTAGAGGAGAGGTCAACAGGGAGGCAGAGACTCATCAGGGAAGCCATGGCCACTGCAATAGCCTTAGCCTTTTTTTCAAGAGAATACTCAAAATCCAAAGATTCTGAATAAGAAAGAAATGAGTCAGTTTTCAAAAATGATTATCTTGAAAATTGGGTAAAGTGGACTACAGGGAAAAGGCATGGAATGAAGTAAATTGAGACCTCTAACTGGTATGGCATAGGTGTTTTATTTTGTGGGATTATCAAAATCACTGTACATTAATAATTACATTAATGCCTGGACATGAAACATGGGTAAATAATGACCGGCTTATTAGCAATAATTAGTAATCTTCTATAGATATTTTAAAATAAATTCTATGTCTAAGAGTCTTTCATTACCTTCTATTTTTATTAATATTTTTCACTCTCTGCTGTTTTAAGTTAATGTGCCGTTCCTTGCAGCCATCCACACTGGACACACCTGAACCTTGGTCACTTTTGACTCATCCCTCTTCGTCCTCTGAATAAAAGGGTGTCTCCCAAATACATCTTCTGCTAATCCCAGCCTTCAGAGCATCCTTCTGTCTGAGCATCATCGGATCCCCCATAGTCCATGTGAAACTCATCAAGAAACAGCATTATCAGTTTTTAAATTGGGAACGACCTTGATTTATATTGGCTCAGGCCTTTGTTCTTCCATATTACTGGCAATTGGGCCTTTTGGTTTGTTTTTTTTTTGACAACTGACCCTTTCTAACAGTATCAGTAACTGATTTGTAACATATAACATATAGATTAGTATTTAATTTACTCTCCTGCAATAAGGAGAAAATGGGAGTTAGGAATGCTGAAGTGACTGGGTTCAGTAGACACTTAACTCACTGGTTCGTTTCACCTGCCATTATTTGCCATCACTTCATCTTTGACACATCTGGCAGGTCCTAAAGCATGGCTCTCATTATGTCATTCTTCTTGTCAAAACCTGAGCAGCATCCTACGGCTTCCCATGTTAAATATAGACACTTCTGCCAGGCGGCCGCTGACTCCATCTTTTTCCCGTTATTCTTCCCCAGGTACTTACTTCATCCATTAGTCAAGCCGACTATGCTGTAGTCATCTGCTTCTTCTATATAAACAGTCATCCATTAAAATTCTACCTGTCCTTCAAATCCTGTCTCATACCACAGCCTTTCCACTGCCACCAATATGCCAATGATTTCTCTGACTCCTGAAACATCATTGCATGTAGAAGCAGCAGTAGGCATGCTAAGGCCTTGAACACACAGAGGCCAGGTTCTCTGTGGGTGTTACTTAACCTCTGGTTTTCCCTGGAAATTGGGTTCAATAATAATTCCTACCACATGAGGCTGTTGTGAGGATTTAGTGGGTTATGGCATCGTGTAAATTAGTTCTGTAACAGATATGAATACTTAGTATTATTTTAACATCAGGATCCATATTTAGTAGACACTTCAAATAAATCCTGTTTGAGATGAAGTAAAACCACATATGGACTGGGGAAAAGGAGACCTGGATAACTGCAATGCTCAGTGTTACTGTTCCTGTATCTTACTTTCTTCAGCTGAGAAAAATTACTATCAGTTCAAAGCGGCCACATTTGTATCTAAAAGTCACCCCAACCCTACCAAAACTGAACTTTTAACCCCTGTGTACCTTTCCTATCTATTTGATACTACCATCTAAATTACCTATTTCTTGGAATACCTAAACTTAATCTATTGGCCAGTGTTGCTGATGGAACCCAGATCATATGGAGTCCATCCACTTCTCTCCTCCCCATCACCACCACTACAACCCTAGTCCAGTACTCTGCTCTCTGCAGCAGCTTCCTAATCTACTCTTGCCCTCTTTCAGCTCATTTTCCAAACAGCCAGACTGGTGTTTAAAGCATAAGCCAAGCTTAGAGTGATGCTGTCTTCCCTGAGTCCTACTTCCTTGGGGACTGAGATGGATCACTGGAGCTCAGCAGTTTGAGATTAGTCTGAGCAAAACCACAGCATGACACCACCTCAAACAACAATAATCAAATAAAGCACAAACCGATTGTTCTCCTCTAACATTCCTCAGTGGCTTCTCTTTATAGGATGAGATACTCAGCTCTTTGCCCCCTCAGGCCACTGTCCCCATCATCACCCCCACTCAGTTCCTCCCCAGACCAGTGGATGCCTTGGCCCTTAGCATTGGTTGGAAAACTCAGCCCCTAGCCGTCCACGTGACTTGTCATTTATAACGTAACTCTACCTAATTGCCTCTTCTATCGGCGGTGCGCTACACACCATCCTACTCTTACCCGCAAAGGCTTGCCACCAAAAGTCCTCTATTTTGCCATCTCCCATTCCCACTCAGTAGAAACTAAATGTCCTCACACCGTCTCATTTCCTAGCACAGTATCTGGTGCACAGGATGTAGGTATGCTGGGATAGGAGACTTGACTGAATAAATAAACAACTACAACCCCGCTTTTAATGAGATACAAAGTTCTGTATTAAGTACATAAGCCAAAACCTGTTATTCTTTAAATGTGCCTATTTTTCCTTTCACTTAATTCCCATACCGAGTGAACATTAGCGACAGAAATATGACAACTTAAAAAGTCAGAACACTTCCTCCTCCCATCAGCCTTCAGTTTGCTGTTCTCTTCCTCGGCCCTCCCAGACTCTGCCTTAGCGTAAATTACCCTCCTCTCTGGCCTTTTCCTGTAGGTTTTAACCGCCCTAGGTCGAATTCTCCAGACCGCAGCCAAAGAACAGTTTGGCTGTTCCCGTAGCCCTCTGCCATTCCTTGAGAATGCCTGGGAGTTTTCCTTGTTATCAAGAAAGACCAGAACTTGCTCTTGTCCACCACCAGGCTAACACTTCTGGTTCCCGTCTGCCACCTAGCTGGGTAGCAGGGGCTTCCCGCTTCCAGGACAGTTTTACAAAGCGCCTCAAGTTGCCTCCTTTAGATCTCAGACGACTGTGCTCCCTTCCCTCTGGAAGCCCACCCAGAGTAGGCTGTGCTCCATCACAAAGCCCCGCATCGCCAAGGGCCTGTCTTTCTGAGCTCATACTTGCTTCACAAACCTACACTTCTGAATGCCGGGGCCTTTATAATCTGTTTTTCCGCGAACCCGCGCCCAGCGACTATTTGCGGAAGGAACGAACCGACGAGCCGACCAACCACGGCTCGCCCTCCCGCCCCGCCGCTGCGCCGCAGTAGTGACGCACTAAGCTGGCGCCGCGAGGACGGGCGTGTCTGGGCGCCTGCGCGACGGGCACGCATGCGCAGAGGCGCGAGCCTGCTGACAGATTCTCGAAGGCGGCGGCGGCGGCCTTCGGCCGCAGGGAATGGGAGTCTCAGGGCCCTGACTGAGCACCGCCCCCGCCTCCCTGCCGAGACATGGCTCAGGAGAAGATGGAGCTGGACCTGGAGCTGCCCGCGGGCACGGGCGCGAGCCCGGCGGAGGGCGGTGGCCCGGGCGGTGGGGGCCTGCGGAGGTCTAACAGCGCCCCCCTGATCCACGGCCTCAGCGACTCCTCGCCGGTTTTCCAGGCCGAGGCGCCCAGCGCCAGGCGGAACAGCACGACGTTCCCGAGCCGCCACGGCCTGCTGCTCCCGGCCTCGCCGGTCCGCATGCACAGCAGCCGCTTGCACCAGATCAAACAGGAGGAGGGCATGGACCTGATCAATCGGGAGACGGTCCACGAGCGCGAGGTGCAGACCGCAATGCAGATAAGCCACTCCTGGGAGGAAAGTTTCAGCCTGAGTGACAACGACGTGGAGAAATCCGCCTCCCCAAAGCGCATCGACTTCATTCCGGTGTCTCCAGCACCATCACCCACCCGGGGAATTGGGAAGCAGTGTTTTTCGCCGTCCTTGCAAAGTTTTGTGAGTAGCAACGGATTGCCTCCAAGCCCTATTCCCAGCCCAACCACCCGGTTTACTACCCGGAGAAGCCAGAGTCCCATCAACTGCATCAGACCAAGTGTTCTTGGACCATTGAAAAGAAAATGTGAAATGGAAACTGATTATCAGCCAAAGAGATTTTTCCAGGGCATCACCAACATGTTGTCTTCTGACGTTGCACAGCTGTCAGACCCCGGGGTGTGTGTGTCCTCCGATACACTGGATGGAAACAGCAGCAGTGCCGGATCTTCCTGTAACTCACCAGCGAAAGTCAGCACTACCACCGACTCTCCTGTGTCGCCTGCCCAAGCAGCCTCCCCCTTTATTCCAGTAGATGAACTTTCGTCGAAGTGATTCACCAGTCTTGAGCCCCCCTCCCCAATGGAGAGACAGAATCAAGTTAGAGCAAGCACTGAACTTTGTCGATTAAGTTGAGGCTGTTTCCTATTTGACTTTTCCCCCTTTTTTGGAAGTTCCTGAAATGTTATTCTAGAGAATTTCTATGTCAGGTTCCTGCGGACGCCCTTGAATTCAGTGTAGTAATATTTTCGGACTTTTTATCAATAAGTGTGTTGAAGCATACATTTTACGCTGCTAATATGTCTAAATACATATGTTATCCCTTGATTTTTTAAATAATTGAGAGCTCTATTTATTTATGGGATTATTAAGTTCTGATGAAAATATAAATGTTGAATTTCAGTTTAGTAAACTGATGTTTTAAAATTCCATAATTCATGGCACACTAATTTTTAATGTTTTCAATGATTGCTGGTTTCCATCTATTGAAGAATTTACCTACTTACAGCTTTAATGAAAAATCTTAGTCATATCAGTCCATTGGTTGTCTAGCTTACCCAGGAGTCCTTGGATATTTAATATAGGAGGGGAAGTGACAAAAGGAGAAATTACAGGATTTTGCAGCAAATATTTTTAAATTAAGTATATAAAAGTAAACATTTAAGAAGAACATTTTCTAACAAAATTTTAATAGTAACTACCAAGTCACACCAACATAACTACAAAAATGAAAAGTTTCTCTTTGAAAACATTTTTATCCAGAAAGTGCATTCTCTTGGGTATAACCCTAAACATTCAATGGAACAGTGCCTTGTAGTCTTAGCTCACTGAGGACAGGCAAAGGCAAGGCTCTTGCTACCACTTCAGAGTTAACATCTGTGAAATGTAAATGTGTGGGAAACCCTGTTGAGTGTTGGGAGAACACCCAGACAGATGATATTCTCTCAATCATTGATAGTTTTTAAACTATCCAGTCAGGTCTCAATTCTTAAAATTCTTGCCAGTGAGAAGCCAGAGCAGCTGTTTGCCTCTTTTCTGCTCTGCCTGTCTGTCACCTTTTCCCTTGCTCAGGAAGGAGGCATCTGTTTCTTTGCCAACAGGTACTTCCCATCTCCCACCAATCTAAGACATAGCTAGACCAAGGTACCTCTGATTTGGATTTCTGATAGTGTAATACACTTCTCTGTAGTTGGAGCTACATTGACAACATTGGAAATGTTACTTATAGGCCCATAGTGTACAGGAGATCAGTGGAGAGTCACAGTGACTCTTAAATGTGTAATTATGGGGTGCTTTTCTCTTGTGATTATGATAAATAGTAAATGGCTTTTATATTATACTTTATCATACTTCATCTTTCCTAGATAGTGAAGGCAGACATGCAGATGGAATGAATAACAGACCAAAAGGAAAAGCTTTAAAAAAAAATACTAATGCTTTTAAGACAGACCATGACAAAACTTCCTACTTACTTTTTAAAGTCATTGCCTACAGGTTTTAAGAATTATATGGAATTTTTACAACTATGAGAATAAATGGAACTGGTCAACTCTTGACAGTTGCATCAAGTTTCAGTGAAATGACATCACGGGTAAGACTGTGTCTGTATGTTTACCATTTTCTGGGTAATAATGTATTTGTGCTTACATCCTAATTGTTTCTCAGCTTAAACCTATGTATCTGAGTTTCCTGTTGGGTATCTTGACCTGCTTCCAGAGGAACTTTAATAACCTCAAAACAGAATTTACTGCCACATTTAATGTGTTCTTGTAGGTTGATGTCATCAATGCCTCATTTCCTAAACTAGATGCCATGACACATCTGGCTCCTTCCTGTTAAATACAGTGTGACCCCCAAGTTCTGTCAGTTTCTTCTAAACTGGATCTCCAATTCTACTCCAGCTCCCCTTGTCGCCTGCCTTCCTGTGACTTCCCTCTCTCTGGGCTTGGTCCTCACACTGGCTCCTGAATACTCTTGACTATTATAAACTTTTTTTTCCACTTTCGTACCCCCAAACTGTATCATTTATAGCCCTTATAGTTAAGGTAGTTGTGTAACAACCTAAACTGTAGTATAGTTTCTGGCTATAGTGATCTTTAGTGATCTGACTGTTAAGTGCTAAAGTAACTTCAGTCCTCTCATCTCATCTAATACTCACTTCCCTCCTGCTGCTACAGATACTAGACTACTTGATACTCCTTAAATAGACTATATTATTACATGGATTTGCCTTTAAAATCTGTGTGTGTATGTGGGTGTGTGTGTTGCACACACTATGGTCAGGACAGTTTGTAGAGTTCATTCCTTTCATCATGTGCATTCTGGGAATCAAATTCAAGTCATATATATATGTACATCATATGTACACATGGATACATGAAGTCAGAAAGCAGTTTGTGTGAGTTGATTTTCTTTTCACAGTGTTGGTTCCATTTGGCATCAGGAGCCAAAATTTACCCACTGAGCCATCTTGAACCAGCCCTCCCCCAACTCTTTAATTCCATGTGACCTTTAACTGAAAACAGTGTGTATATAGTTTATAAAATACCTGAGTCATGTATACTTGTATATAGTTTAAAACTCTGCCATGTGCTATGTAAACTTCATTATCTTCCTCACAGGTAACATCTGCTGACAGTTTGGTGTGCACCCTGCAAGATGCATTTCCCCCTCCCCCATTTCCCTGCATCTGTGTGTGTGTAGATGCAGGGAATTAATGTGCGTCAGCAGCTCTCGTCATTTCTTTCACCCCATGTTTAATCACTCACCAAGTCTTACTGATTTTATCTTCTGGAATCTAACTCCTGGTTTCAATCTCTGCTGCAGCAAGATCCAGGCTATTGTATCCTTTTTGGGCTTCTCTCCCAGCGGCGCTCAGCATACTCACTCCCATCTGCAATCTGTTCATTTGCTCAGAGTTGCCCTCTTAGAATGGCCTATTTCCTGTTTTTATGAGTGTACCAAATGTATAAGTTCTGGCTCAGGGGCCTCTGATGGATTGCCTCTTGTCTTTTTTTTGTTTGTTTGTTTTTTGTTTTGTTTTTCGCCACCCTTACTATAGCTAGCTTTCCTCTTTAAAAAAATACTTATTTATATGTATATGGGTGTTTGCTTGCATGTATGTTTGTACACCGTGTACATGCCTAGTGCCCATGGAAACCAGGAGAGAGCCTCAGATCCAATCTTCTATAACTGGAGTTACAGACAGTTGTCAGCTTTCATGTAGGTGCTGGGATTTGAACTCAGGTCCTCTGGAAGAGCAGCTTGAGTTCTTAACCTCAAGCTGTCTCTCCAGCCCCCACTTTTACTTTTTAAATGCCTGGTATTTGCTTTTATCTACATCCTTTTGCCAGGTCATTTTCCTGCAGTGTATTAAAGCCTTTCTTTTCCTAAGCTGCTGCTTTTCTATGGGTGGTAAATCTTAAGTAAGCTAGGGCTCTAAGAGTTTGTATGGGTAATTTACATCACCATAGCAACTTCAACCATTCCTCCTTAGCTCACATGGACATCTGCTTCCAAAAACACATTTTTAAGATATTGGTGTTGCCAGTTCATAAACTTTGACCTAGAGCAATTAAAAGCGCTTAAAGGTCCATTTTGTCATATCTAATAAACTTCTGTAGTATATTTTCTTTTATTGTGGCTGTTTAAAATATGTATCGTGAATGAAAGAAATCACAGTGGTTACCAAACCTAAGGCTGCTGGATGCTGGGACCCTTAAGGATACTTAAAAGTGCTTGCCCTCCAGAAGGACCTGGGTCAGGTTGCCTTCCAGGGATTCCCATCGATCAGTTCAGTCCGTTATGTAGCCTACCTCAAGAGGCCATTTGAGATAGTTGGCAGGAACTGGTAGTCTGAACCTAGTGAAAGACTGGGTTACTTTTTTCCTCTTCATTTTCTGGATTAGTAGATTAGAGAGAGGAAATTGCAGGGAAGGCAATGTAACAATCCGCAGTGGGTATCAGGAAACAAAGAGTTGCCATTGGAAAGCAAAACTAGAAATGTCGATTTCTTCTATAATAGAGCAAAAAGGTTGGCAATGACACCTGCGGCTATTGTTTTGCTTTTGCAGTGGTTTGGTGGTGCAGAGGTGTGGAGGAAGACGCTCTCTCTCTCTCTCTCTCTCTCTCTCTCTCTCTATATATATATATATATATATATATATATATATATATATAGTGTGTGTGTGTGTGTGTGTATATATATATATATATATATGATCAGTAGTAAGTGGGCTTTACATCTGCTCCCTTCAGTCTTCTAGTTAATGAGGAACATAGGATATTTTCGGGCAGGGTTAGGAGTGAATTAAATGATTAATAACCTGAGAATGTGTAAAGGAGAGGCTGAAGAGTGAATGGGAGGCTAGCCAGGCCACAGTGAATTCCATTTGAATCCACACAAAGAAGTGAGTTGAATTGACTCGGTTTGGGAATTAGCTAAGTAGATACTAGTTAAAGTGGACTGTGACACAATCATTCCTTGGAAAGTGCAGTTGAGTGAGAGGCATTGGGGATGGTCAGAGGAGTGGAAAGTGATATCCCACCTATTCATGATCAAACCTTATAATCTGTCACACCAATGTATATGACAACCTGGTCTCATTGTGGCACTTATGACAATATTTTTTCACAGATGATTTCATTTAGCTAAAAGAACAGCTTCCACCTGAATTCCACTTACTTGAGAGACATATCATACTGCTCTAGACAGTTTGTTTGTTAACATTAAGTAAGTTTTTCTGAAAAAATGAGATAATCTTTATATAAAATGTGATTGATGAAGTCCTTTCTTGTGTACCCAATGATTTTAGGGTCTGGCTATTTTTCAATGTAATCATTTTACCATTTACCAAGATGAATATGATCTTGACCCTTGTTTTTAAATGAGGAAATAGTAGTGAGGGTATTTGCCTGGGAATCCTAAGCTGGAAGCTTCTCTGCTGGTTGCAGTGATTATGAACGGACTGCAGAGCCAAGTTGCTGAGTTCTGATGGGGGTGGGGGGCATGTTACAGGGGGCGGGGACTGGGGCTCAGTGGATGCAAGCCCGTAACAACAGTGCTGAACAATGAAGGAACATTGAACTAACAGCTGTCATTATTGTGTGCTTCTGAGCAGTTATTTCCCTCTGTAACTTCCGCTGGATTCAGGTCCAACTCTCTGAAAATGCAGAACAAGTCTTATTCTTCCCTTTTAGCCATCATCCTTGCTCTGTGAATCCAGAACACTGATCCTTCTCTCATGGCTGCTCCTTGCTCTGGATTTTAGAAACCCTAGCTACTTTCTGCAGTCAAATAAGGCTGTCAGTGCCCTGGCAGCCAAAAAGTTTTCACATGACAATTCTCTCAAGACCCTTTGCCTTCCCAGGTGGGGGAAATCAGACTCAAGTAATAACATAAATTTTTGTTGACAATAATAAAAATGACTATCAATGTTATATATTCTTTACATCTGGAAGATCTCAATGCAGCATTCAGTGTGGGCTCAGGCACCATTTTCATTACACACACACACACACACACACACACACTTTGTTTAATCCTTATGATAACCTTCTGAGGTGGATAGTATGAGTTTACTATGACTAAAAGATGAGAAAATCAAGTTCTTTTTTAAAATCCCATTTTTAATTTTTCCTTTTGAATTTAGTTCCTTTTTTTTTCTTGGTACTTCATTTGAGAAGACCCTGTTTCCCCAATAGTCAATGTACTTGCAGATTATTGTGCTTTTTATATCATGCTTTATACTTTGAGTTTTAACTAACTCCTCAGAACTCAACTGCTGCCCTTTAAGTGGCAGCTATAATGGATGTGGTAGCTGTACTCACAATCCTTTTGTTCCTGATTTTTTTTTTGTTTGGCCTTTTGAACTTCCGAAATAAATACTGGTAGCGATATACAAATTACTCGTTAACAAACACTAAGGCAGCAGTGGTTCAAAGTGAAAACCTGAGAGCCCACCTCCACCATCTGTAGTAGTGAGGCAGGACCACTGTGGCTCTTATTCCAGTTACCCACTGGGGTCCCTGGAGCCTGACTTCCCTCTAAGGCTTGGCTAACCAGGCAGCTGTGAACCAAGACAATGGAGAAAGAGCCTTTGTGGACTAGCAAAGCAAGATGGTTGTTTGAGGTAATCATTCTTCCCCCTCACTTAAGGACAAAGAAAGATTTCAGTGTGGCTATGCAGGATCACCGAAACTCAAGTAACAAGTGGCTATTCAGAGTCAGTGTCTTTCCGTCCGAGGGAGATCTATGAGCTGTCACCAAGGGAGCAGGTATTCCTTTTAGCATCCATAAATGTCTGGGGGGAGCTGTCATACAGCTCTCACCTGTGAGCAGAATAACAGTATGGCTTTCTTGAACATTTATTTATTCTTTGTTTCCCTTCAAGATTTAAAGTCAGGATGTATTTAAGAATTACTTCAAGTCACTCTCTTGTTGGTCTCTGTTTTGAGTCCACTAGAGGAGGAGGTGGCAAAGAAAGACAATAATATTCAGCACCGGGTGACTTGGGGTCAAGAATTACAATTTGCTGTTATCATTTAAAACGAAAAACAACAAACAAAAAGCCATCTTGTAACCTGAACTAAAATACCATACCTTTCTCAAGGCCTCATTTACCATACTGCTTACTACAGAGACTTTTGAAATGCGCTTGAGTGTGCACCTCTAATGACTACCACTTAATTCTAAGATTAAATCAAAGCAAGCAGTGTGAGAGACAGCCCTTCCTCCTCCACATAGCCCCTGGATTCCAGGACTGCCCACACAGCTGCCTGTAGTTCTCCCTCTCACATCTGCCCATGCTTTCTGACAAGTTGTCTGTCCTCTCCATAACAGGACTCTTCTTTCTTCTACACCCCAGCTGGCCCTTTAACTAACTCCTTAAAAGGATACCTAGAGGGGCACAGTGGTTCTGATGGTCCCTGGTCCTCCCAGGGCGCTCTTTGAGGATTATCTCATCAACAGGACTTATCTTTATCAAAACCACAGCAGACTGAGTTTCTATTTGCCAGCTTCCTCGTCTCTTTCCCATGCAAAAGTCAGAACTGAATCTTTTACTTTTGTCCCTAAGACCTGAGCACAGCACATTAATTACCCAAGCTCTTATTAAGTGGATGAGTCAGTGCATAAGTGGATGAGTGAGTGACACATCTTTGTTTTTGATTCCTGAGATATTTGTGGTGAGATTCTACTTCCATCGACTGTGACAGCAACTAATTGAAAACCTGGTCATTAAGCACTTACTTGGGAACACTGTGTCTTTAAGTGAGAGGAATGCAGTAAAATTCTTAGAGGAATCTAGTCACGTGGCTAAGCTCTTTAATAGCTTCCTAAGAGACTAGAAGTTCATTCATTAAGCAATTTTGATTTGGAAACCTATTATGAGCCTCCCACTGGCTAGTCTCTTAGGGGATATTCATGTGAGAAGCCAAGCTCCCTGGTCAGCAGAACACACATATATTGTAATGGAAGGGGGTGTTCTATGTGTGCATATATGTAAAGTGTAAATTTTTTATGTATGAAGAACAATAAGGAGATCTAGGAGGCAGCAATAGAGTTCTTGAAAGGAAAAAACTGGCTGTGCAGAAGTTAGAGAGGTAGTGGGTAGAGAGTTCCAAATGTGGTTGGCATGGGATTATTGGCTTTGATTTTGAGTGAGAAGGAAGCCACCACAGGGATTAAGTGTAGAAATGACTTGATCTGTTTTACGTTTTTGTAAGGGACTTTCTTGCAAACTTGAAAATAAATTTAGGGAACAGGGGCAGGGTAAAAGTGAGGTTCATTAGAAGGCTTTTTGGCAATCTAGGTATGAGACAATGATGGTTTAGGTAAGGATGAGAGTAGGGGACATAGGAGTAGTAGTCAAATTCGAGGTGTATTTTGAAGGTAGAGCAAATAAATTTTGCTGGCAGTTTTAAGGTGGACAGGAGCAAGAGAAATCAAGGGCAATTCTGTAAATCTGAACATGAGTAACAGAAAACATTGGGGCATCAGCTGAGACTTGGAAATCTGTGAATGGAGTAGGATTGCAGGGCAATGGTTGTGGAAATACAGGTCATTGATACACACATTTTGGGTGTTTTGTTTTTGCTTTTAAAGTGGTCTTTAATAGACATCCAAGTGGGAGTGGGGTCAAACAAGCAACTAGATGACCAAGTCTGGAGTTCAGGAAAAATGGCTACATTACAAACACACGGGAGTCAACTGTCTGCAGATGCATTTAAAATTGAGACTAGATAAGTCTGCTAAATACTCAGGCATCAGCAAATAGGATAATAACTAAACCTGAGGTACAACTAAGGTTTGGGGAACATTGTGACACTGAAAAGCCAGGGAGAGAGATAGAGAAGGAGCAGAGGGAAATAGGAAAACCAAGGGAGTGCTGCACCCTGGAAGCCATGGGAAGAAATGGGCATGGCTAGTGATTGTGTGTATCTCCTGCAGCTGGTCTGACATGTAGGATGAGAAGTGGTCACTGAGCTCAGTTCACGGGACTCAGTGACATGGGAGTCACAGGTCCCTTTCTTCATGAGAGTCGTTTTAGTGGAGCGCTGTGAGTAGGACCCTGATTAGAGAGGCAGACATGAAGAGGAGGATAAAGGAGGTGGAAGGAGCAGAGCCAGAGTCAGACGGGAGAAAAGTCAGATGGAGGAAACATGAAAGAAGTTCAGACAAGACAGACAGACAGACAGAGGAAAGACAGATGGAAGAAGTTCACACAGAGAAGTCAGATGGGAGAAAGATGGACAAAAGACAGATGGAGGAAAGGCAGATGGAGGAAAAACAGGAGGAAAGACGAATGGTAGACAGTTATACGGAGGAGAGATAAGCAGAAGAAAGACAGACTGAGGACAGTTAGATGGAGGAAAGACAGACTGAGGAACGTCTGTCTGAAGAAGGGCTTGAGGCCAGAGCAACTGGAACAAAAGGTCACCTCCTGCATCCTTCCCTAATAAGTTATTATAAAGCACTTCACAGTAAATACTCTCTTTCATGTATGTGACTGTAGTTGCAGAAAGAATTACACAGAAAAGAATCGGCCGACGGTTTTCTCCCCTGTCCACTTTGGCATTTTGTAGTGTGGGAAAAAAATCTATAAATTAGTGTTTCTGCTGTAATCGTGACCTAACTGTTAGAACTAAAACCTTATGATATGCTTTCTCATGTATTGTCTGGTTCATTTTTCCTGTGTCATTTATTTTTCTTTATGGCCTTTTCTCTACTTATAAATTGAAACAGTTCCATGGCACAATTAATTCTGTAAGTTTGGCCCAGTTTCTTAGGCTAGAGGCATTTTCTTCGTTGGTTAGTGCTGTGAATTTTAAAGTCGTTCATGATCCGCTTAAGTTTTATTTAGAGACAGAGGTTGTTTTTTTAATTCATTTTCAAAATTATTTCTGAATAGTGGGAGAAGAGAGGGGTTGAATTTTTCCTCACAACTGCTCAGAGTGTATTCTAATCATATAGTATCAGTAGATGTCATCCGGAGCACTTTCCAGTCTGTTCTGTTCCTTTGTAGATGACTTAGAAAAAGCCAGACCATGTTCATATCCCCGAAGGCATTCTTCCTTCTGGGGATTACTGATCTCGGTGCTGATGTTGCATTTTGATCTTTCAAACTCTATCAAGTACTTCCCAACTCTTCTGCTGTAGGTAGTGTGGGTTCCATCTGAATCAATGAACTGCATATTGTCTGAACCCTTACTTTCTTGTTTTAGTGTCTGTCTTTGTGTGAGTGTGGTGTGTGTATGTCTATAAATATGTATGTCTGCATGTGAGT